TAAATCCAAGGGTTCACATACTTTTTCCACCTGCACTGTGAATGTTTACATGGTGTGTTCATAAAAACATGGCAACATTTCATTCTTTGTGTGTTATTAGTTTAAGCAGACTGTGATTGTCTATTGTTGTGACTTAGATGATGATCAGATCACATTTTATGACCAATTTGTGCAGAAATCCATATCATTCCAAAGGGTTCACATACTTTTTCTTGCAACTGTATATAAATCCTATTTAATTGCCCTTCAATAGAGTACAGCCGACCAAAATCATTACTACTGCAATTTGTGGAACTAAAGGCTACCCTCCCACGAACACCACACCATCGAAATAGTAAACTTACAGTATGTGAAGGTTGGCTTAATACATATACGAGTAATCGAGCAACCAAACTATGACAGAAGGAAAACCTGCAAAAAATATAACAGATGAGAATTAACTTATAAGAGAGCCCTATCAGACTTTAACTTGTCTATGCAACTGCTCCCTGACAAAACTTCACCTATACTCAAGAGTGGCAACTTCTATCCTGAAAGAATAGTAAGCAAATCCTTATCATGCAAACCCATTTGATGCAAGCACTACATACAACTGGAAACTAGTTTGTGAAGGCCCTTTCCTATGTAGCAAAAAGGAAATACCTGAGTGACATACGAGCCCTCCAAAGTCCTAATCATTACTTATGCACCTTAACTTGAGTACCCGAGGGACGAAACATCCAAACAACATACAGTGGATTCTAACCATTTTCTAGCAAACTACATCAAAAGAAACTGGGAATTTAGAATCAGGAAGTTTCCTAAACATCCACACTATCACCAGCTGCCGAATTAGAAACTCCTTTGAGACATTCTCCCATCCCATAAACCTGAAAAGAAAATATAGGGCTGTGGCAGAACCACTGCCTATATGTGGTGTTCCTTCCTTACTGTGTTTGTTCCCCTGTAATTTCCATATACTGTGTCCACTCCCCATTGAGTAGAGCTCACAGGAAAGAAATTAAAGAAACTCATTTGTCTCCTTAACAGGGACCACCCCCATATCCCATTTTGAACGCAATTAGAACCTTCTCATCTCACTCATCTGTGCGAAACCGCAAGGGAAGCAATTAATGAGGGTTTCCCTGGATGGCCATAACAGTATAGACGAACTCCAGTCAGGGGGAGTGTTCATGGATTGTTTCCCAACTCGTTCATCTCCAGAACGACGACCTCCCTGGTGCCCCATTAGAACGTTCCCACTAATTGATCAGAACCAACTAACGTATAGATGAATGCCAACTAAGGGGAGCCTTCCTATCCGAAAAGGAGGCGCTTCCCTTGCAGTTTTCAGCACCAGAGGCCATCGAACGGAGAGTGGTCGGGGAAAGTGCCCCACCAGGTTGGTGGGGACACTTTTGGGGCACTGGCTACTTTGGCGGGCTTTTCTGTGCCTGGGAGACAAAGGAACAGTTTGGCTCCCAGACAAAGAGGATCCTGGGAAGAAGACCCCTGTCCAATGGGGTTGGAGATAATTTTCTATCTCTTTATATGTGTTTAAAATAACCTTCTCAGGGTAATTTTTCTATTTAAATCTTTTTATTAAAATACTGGATTGTTACTTAAAAATTGCATTGTCAGAGTAATTTCTCCCGATCCTTTGTAATTGATATTGCCCAGCCATGGACTGACTACTGTATAGCACATAAAATTTGCATCTACCTGTTTAAAATATGTTTTTGTTTTTTAATAAATTTTCATTCACATAAATTACCAGATCTAAACAAATAATCTCCATCTTACTGTAATAGCTCGTTAGTTTAATTACAGTTTAGACTAAGAAGCATCAGACACGTAAGCAATGCCAAAACCGGAGGGGACCCAGTCATGGAATGATTGATCACATGTACCACACTCATGTTGTGCGTGTGGACAATCACTTATCTGTTCTCAAATTCTGAACCCCACAACTCGACCACGACTACACTGGGAAATTTTTTAGAAACAAAAAAGAAACCGGCCCCAGCTGGGGAGGAAGATTTCCTGATAAAACCCTTTCTAAGATTCTCGGCGATATATTCCTCTAGTACTTTGTTTTCATTAACTGTGAGTGGATACACAGTACCTCTAGGAGGCATGGTACCAGGTAATATTTCGATAGCGCAGTCATATGACTGATGAGGTGGTAGTTTCTCCGCCTCCTTTTGTTAAAAAACTGCCTTGAGATCCAAGTATTGTTTCGGTATTTGGGTTGTTAAATGGCAGGTATATTAAGTAGACCTATAGGCTTCACTCGGGTAATACAGCCTCCAAATCAAGACTCGAGATTATTAGCTTGGCCTTTAATCTGAAGGGTGTACCACGCATGCGCTCGGCACATCCTTCAGCTATAGAAATCTGATGGGTGTAATGTGCATTTGCGCAGCACATCCTTCCAATATAACAATCAGATGGGTGTACTGTGCATGCATCAGATATTGCAATCTGATCTACAAATCTGACGGATTTCTGTACCACAGCTTTCACTGTGTAGTAACATACACAGTGTAGGTGAATGTGGTGTTAAATAAGGGAGATGCACGGTTAATGGGGGTGACACACAGGGATAGGGGGTTAATAGGAGTGATACACATGGGATGGGGGATATGGAAGGGTGACCAAAAGTTGCCTAACAACCCAGAAGTCCCTCTAGTGGCCGTCTGGTAGCCAGCCACTAGAGGTGAAGTTAACACATAAAGGTAATTATTGCACTTGCAATAGTTACCTTTACACGGTTAAGGGACCTGGGACACTGAACCCAGACCACTTCAATGCCCTGAATTGGTCTGGGTGCCTATAGTATCCCTTTAAACAGGTCTCTTTCTTCTCCCAATCTATCATAGGATTATGTTTGGAGAGCCAAGGAAAACCAAGGATGACAGAAAATGTGGGAGAAACGATCTGTTGTAGGGTTATAATTTCCTGATGCAAGGTCCCTATGGTTAATCTTAGAGGTTTACTTTCTCTAGTAATAAGAGGAATTGACAGTGGTCTACCATCTATGACCTCAACGGCCAAGGGTGTTGGTCTTGTTTGAAAAGGGAGAGAATGTTTTAGACTGAAGTCGATATCAATAAAACTCTCAGCAGCCCCAGAATCTATCAGAGCAACAGTCTGTACTCTTTTTTTCTCCCATTCAATAATAATGGGTAGAAGAAGCCTAAGATCACTTTTGTCATTAAAGGAGAACATACACATCACACCCAAGGCCTGTCCTCCTGGAGGGCTTAGGTGCTAGATTTTTCAGGCCTACTAGGACAGGCAAGGCGAGAATAACCCTTCCTTCCACAATATAGGCAAAGTCCCTCCCTTCTTCGATATTGCTTCTCGGCCTCGGAAAACCTTGTGGCTCCCACTTGCATAGGTTCAGGGTGAGTGACAATGGTTGTCTCTGAGGAAGGGAAGGTAAAGCAAGACGTTCAGAAATACGCCTGGTCTTTCCCTGGTATTTTGTCTGTGTCTGAGACGTTCATCTATATGAGCTAGATAGGTAATTAGCTCCTCTAACATATTGGGTAGATCTCTGGTAGCAACTTCGTCCAATAACTTGTCTGAGAGACCATTTAGAAAAACGTCAACGAATGCCTGTTCATTCCATCTCACTTCAGCAGCGTTAGTACGAAACTCTAAAGCGTAATCAACTAAGGAACGGGTCCCCTGTCCCATACATAAGAGTGTCTTAGCGGCATTAGTCCGTCTCGCCGGAGGGGTGGGGGTCAAAAGTCCTTCTAAAGGCAGCAATAAACTCAGCATAATCAAAGACAATGGGATTATCGTTTTCCCATAAGGGGTTAGCCCAAACTAATGCTCTATTAACCAGAAGTGTTATCATATATCTGATCTTTGACCTGTCTGTCGGATATGCTCTAGGATGGAGCTCGAAATTGATGCTCACTTGGTTAAGAAAACCCTGACATCCCTTGGAATCACCTCCATAACGAAGAAGGGATGTGGGGTTATTAGAAGAAACCCCTGCGGCTATTTCTATAGGATTGGTCTAGGAGCAGGGTTCTGCTCCTCAGGTTGGAGATGAGCCGTACGAACCAACAATGTTTGTACAGCCATAGCAATCTGGTCCATACGATGGTCCAGTTCCTCAAAATGAGGAACTGGCCCATGTGGATTACCTCCTGCAGGGTCCATGGCCCTATTGTAATGTCACGACAGTGACCCCAACACGCAGAAAGTAATACAGAAAGAGATGTGTTACCGGACCTTAGAATGGCCGAGTTTAAACGTCAAAGAGTAGTCTGAGAATAGCCGATAGTCAGGGAGTACAGAAGACAGATAAACGGAGATATAAGCCTAAGTCGGGATACCAGAGTGTAGAATAGTCAGAGGAATAGCCAAAAGTCAAAATACCAGAATACAATACAGAATCACAAGAGCACTAAAGGGAACTAACAAGAACCACAATAGGGCGCTGACTAACTGTAAAAGGCGCCCTTTTATAGTGTAGTGTCTATCACTTTAAATCCACGCCCCCAAAAGGTCAGGGAGCGTGGTATCACGTGACTTTGTGCGGCAGATTCGATCCGACCTCGGCGCACATGTGCCGCATTATAAAAAGGGGTGTTTCCAGAGCAGCTGGCATCAGAAGGACTGTGCCGCCTCCCGGAAGTGCGAGGAGAGGAAGCCGTGCCGTGCGGGTCGGAGTGGAACAGGTAAGGTATTGTCACAATGACGAGGTCTAGCGACTGATCCGTGGTCCAGTGGGACCAAGGACAGCAAATCCACATACTGATCATGCAGAATCTTGTCCTTGATGTCTCCTGACAGGCACTACCACAGTGGTAACAGGTAAATGCAGGTGCAATATCTCTGCAGAGCAATCAGGAACCCTAGCAGCCCCAGTCTCCAGAGGCCTAGCACAAAGAGCAAGAGGGCTAACCCCTCAATAAAGAGACCACCTCCCTATGCCCCTGGTAAACCTGTCCGGAAACCACACTAACCACCCCCCTGTCTGTCCCTGCCAACGCTTCCTAGGTGCTGGCACAATACCTACATAGGAAAGCAGAAGGTTCCATACTGGCGGCTGGCAAAACGTCCTCTTCCTCCTCTAATCCAGACTGCAGGCTGGACTCCCTCTCCTCTGATGCCAGGTACCTACGGCCACCAGACAAGTCCTCCCGCAGTCTGGACCTCTCCTTGTGCTCACCGGCGCCCTGCTCTGTCACTTCCGCACGCGCCAGAGGAGAAACGCAAGGGCTACGCAATCCTGCAGCCGGGTTCTTGCCAAGTCTATTGCCGCCATCTTGGCCATCAGCAGGGGCATTGTCCTCCTTGCAGCTTGCTCCCTGACTCTGCTGCCATCGATGTCCACCCGCTGTCCGCTCATCTGGTCACTCCGGTGACAAGTGCAATGGAGGAGGCCTAGACCACCCGGCCCTCTGTCCACCCAGGGACACTCCAGCTCCAGCCCGACGATCCCAACAGCCTGCTGCACACCAGTCATCAATTGCTCCAGGGATTCATGCCCATGAGAATCCTGGTAAGCCCGCAGCAGCGTTAATAGAACTTCCATGGATGGGATGGCCATGACAGGAGAAGGTAGGATGGGTAGTTAGCAATCTGGGAATTCTTTACAAACTTCTCTTTCACTTCTCTTTGCAGCCAGGAAGACAGCACAGCAAAATTCAGTCAGGGTCCCTTAACTGATACAGCTGACTGGTAAGTCCCCTCCCCTCTTATCCACTTAAAGGACCACTCTAGGCACCCAGACCACTTCAGCTTAATGAAGTGGTCTGGGTGCCTGGTCCAGCTAGGGTTAACCCATTTTTTTATAAACATAGCAGTTTCAGAGAAATTGCTATGTTTATGAATGGGTTAAGCCTTCCCCCAAAGCCTCTAGTGGCTGTCTCATTGACAGCCGCTAGAGGCGCTTGCGTGCTTCTCACTGTGAAAATCACAGTGAGAGCACGCAAGTATCCATAGGAAAGCATTAAAAATGCTTTACTATGCGACCGGCTGAATGCGCGTGCAGCTCTTGCCGCGTGTGCACATTCAGCCGACGGGGAGGAACGGAGGAGGAGAGCTCCCCGTCCAGCGCTGGAAAAAGGTAAGTTTTTACCCCTTTCCCCCTTCCAGAGCTGGGCGGGAGGGGGTCCCTGAGGGTGGGGGCACCCTCAGGGCACTATAGTGCCAGGAAAACGAGTATGTTTTCCTGGTACTATAGTGGTCCTTTAAATCTCCTTCAGATTTGCAACATTGTTGTTATCTTTCATTCTAGCCCACAATACATGGGCAGCAGTCATGGTTCCCCTTCCCCAGTTGTCCAGGGGGAAACTAATAAGTTTATGTGCAGTAAGCTTCTGTCTGTATAGCAGTGAGTGTGCCTGTATTAATCTTGTGTGTTTGTCAGAGAGTCTGTCTGTACTAAGTTTGTGTGTGTGCCAGTAAGCTTGTCAGTGATCTTTCGTGTTTCAGTAAGATTTTCTGCCAATGAGCGTATTAGTGAGCTTTTGATTTTGTGTCAGTGAACTTGTGTGTGTCAACGGTATTGTCTGTCTGTGAGCCTGTGTATTAGCAAGCTTCTGTGCTTGTGTCAGTGAGAATGTCTGTGAATGCATGTGAGTATGCTTACTGCATAATTAAATTTTTTACCTTGAAAGGACCAATATTCTGAATTAGAAAATAAATTTACCAATAATAAATTATATATATATATATATATATATATATATATATACATACATATCTATATATATATATATATATATATAATTATATATATAGTTATATTTATTTATTTATATATATGTTTATACTTCAGAGATAAATTTTAATATTACTTTGTAACATTTAAAGTATGTTTTGCTATCCTATATGATAGACGCCTATATGTATGTAATATGAGTGTGTATGTTGCCTGTATGTAATGTGTGTGTTGCCTGTATGCTGTGTGTGTTTGCTGTCTGTATGTAATATGTGTGTACGCTACCTGTATGCACTGTGTTGGCTCTAAGTACTGTGTGTGTGTGGTGTGTGCTGGCTGAAAATTAATGGATTATTCGGTAAGCACCTAGGATTTCTTGGGCACCAATCCCAGTCAAGATGACTGCAGGTTTGGAAAGGGTTTGGAAAGGGAGGATCCTGAAATTGACACGCCATCCCACTTGCAACAACTTCACACATAAGTTTATCCCATATCAGGTCCTCCATATCCTCCACCAATGTTACCCGACCAGGTCAGAAAGGGTTAAGGAGAAAATGGAATCTGAAATCCCTCTGGAAATCTCTGAAATAAAAATTTAGCCAAGGGAGCATCTCTTGGACAATCACCCAGGTTCAAGCCGTGGGGATGCTTGTCTCTGGAGACTCTTTTTCTGGGAATGCTAACTGGCATATGACATGACTGCACTAAACATTAGTGCTGAAATCAGCAAGTAAGAATTGGCTGCTGAAAACCGCACAACCTCCCTGTCAGAGGAACCCAATCCCACATGGAGGAAAAAGGAGCTTCACTCAGCAGGACACTGGCATAGACTGGAGACCTCTGGACCAACCTCTCTACCCTGCTCATCCACACTGTCAGTATGTGACAAGGACTGTTCTCTGGCCTAGGAAACCATTGCTTCAGCTAAAGAGACAAATAGAGTAGTCCTCAAATGTGCACCATTGCTTGTCATGATGATAAGCCGGAGCAGGGAGTCTCGACTAGTTTAGAATAACTGTGGAGCCCCGTAAGTAAAGCAGTCATGGTCAATGACGCAGTCACGTGAAGCAATGTTGAACTGGAAGGCGCACAGCTGCCATCTTGCTGGGGGGGGGGGGGGGGGGCTGGGCACAATCTTCTAGATGGTGGGCTGCCAATGGGAAAGGCATATAGCCGTGAGGGATTCAGCACCATGGGCTAAGCAAAACCCCTCCATTGGATGGAGGAGGAGGTGAGACATCTGGAGATCAGCCATTAAAACGACATTCACTTCACAGGCACAGCAGGAGAATCAAGGAAACAAGGCTTTAAGCTTGCTGCGTAAGAATCACGCAAAAGAGGAAGATGAGTGGTAACAATTTATAACATTACACAAACATTGTAACAAACTCCAACATCAATCCATAACTGCCTTCTTAGACTATCCTAGACAGGCATTCAAGGCAGTCATGTCCCAACTCACTTAAACAGTCTATTGGGCTTTCTTTCACATAGACTAATTTGCTACTTTTTTTTTTTTTTTACTTACATTTTTATTAACATTTTCGTTGAACTTCTCGTTACTTGTTATTTGCAGTAAAGAGGTAGGACTCGCAGGTCCTTGGCATGCAAATATACTTCAACAAGCTAGCCAAGCAGGGCTTTGAGAGGTAAGTCAAACAGTTAAGGGAAAACAATCTCTGCTGTGCATCATAAATATCGGAAAGGTTACAAACCAGCAAATATGTTGAATCAAAGCGTAGCAACTTATGTTTAGGTGTTATTGGTAGTGTCATGGTGTAGTCTATGATATCTTGTATTAGCGTACTGTTAGTAGTTTTGAATGTAACTTGATGTAGCTCCTATGTCCAGCTTCCCTACCACAGTCGTGCCCCCTGGCATTGTAGACTACCTGCCCATCTGGTTGGTTCTCATGTGTGTTCCCGCCCCCGGTTTGGGATGGTGTAGGCATGGCTAGCGGGCCAGGGTGTAGGAGCTTTGGTCATCATCGTGGGTGGGCCAGCGATCCCGTCTACGTCTGGGTCATTGCCTGGGTGTCTTCTTCCCCACTCCCCGTGTCATCGCCCTGTCGGCTATATGTCAGCATACTTCGGAAATCTAGGCGATATGCTGTTAGTATTCAATGTGTCCATATGTCTAGGTACGTTTGTGAGTGGCCCTGTGCTGTGAACGTCAAGTCTTCAAGCCCTCGCAAGTTCCTCCATTTTCTCAAACCAGGTCGTTAATGGGGAAGGAAGGTATCTGTCTTCCAATACAGGGGCAAGATATGTTTTGCTGTGTTCAGTATCCGTATAGTCAGGGATTTCTTGTATTTGGGGTTGGGGTCGTAGTGTGGTGTAGGAGGTGCACGGTAGGTTTGAAGGGGGTGGGTTGTCAGAGAACTTTTGTAGCACCCTACTGATCATTTGCCAGTAGGGGACCTTCATTGAGCTGGACTATAGTATCCCTTTAACTATATCTACCTAGATGGGGAAGAGCAACTGCTATCTCAAAGGAATAAGGCTGCATATCTGGGTAATTTCTTAATCACTGGCAATTTTAATTACTCAGACATTGATTAGGCCAAAAGGTCTAGTAAAGTTAAGTGAAACAGGCTTTTGAAATTGTTAAATTTAACTTTCATGTTTCTATTAGTAGAAACACCAACTAAAATAGATGCTTGACTGGATCTTGTAATAAATAATGTGGACCTATTTTTAATCATTCTAGTCAGGGAAAACTTGGGAAATTGTAAGTATAATATGGAAGCTTCTGCAATTAACTCAAAAAAATTAATCCACATCAATTTGACAAAAACACTTGAAGGACCAATTTGAGCACCATGTTAATGAAGTTGTTATGGTGCCAGGAGGTCCCTGGCACTGGGTCACCTTTAGGGGTTAAACCGTTCTCAAATGGCTTAACCCCAAAGTCTGTGCTCCAGTGTCCTATTTCCCTGCCTGTTTGTCCTTCCATTTTCTCAAAATCTTTAAACCAGAAAGCCCTTGCAGCATCACCTCTTGAGGTGAGGTGAAATACCTCCTGGCACAATTACAATGGATCCCAGCACAAGTATATCCCAGAAGTATAAGCAGAATTTTTGCCAAATATAAAGATTAGACTTAAACACAGATATTCCCTGATGACATTCCCACATGCGACCATCCCAGCTGGCTGTCAGGCCCCGCCTCTGACATGGCGTTTTCTCCTAGGATTTCCTAAAAGGTCAATGAATCCATCTTGCCTTCCAAATGCTGCAGGTTTCCAGTGCCAGAGGATGCACTAGATCATCACAGAGCCACCATGCTTAACTGTAGGCAGAGTGTTTTTAAACATACCGCTGATCCATTCGGCCGAAAATTTCCAGCTTTGTTTCATTGCTCCACAGAACTGAATTCCAAAACTTCTGTGGCATTTGAGCGTATTGGAGCCAACTTTGAGAACTTGTGCTCTTGGGTCAGTAGTGGTGTACATCTTGGAGTTCTGGCATGGAAACCTTCTGCGTTTAATATTTGCCTTACTGTGCTCACTGAAATCTCAGTTCCTGTTGTCACCAAGCCTTGCTGCAGGTATCAACCTTCTCCTCTCCTCCCCTTTATACTACCTCTCCCCTAAGTTTGGGGATTTTGTCAAACATTACACTGTGCATTATGGCCAAAACATCTCCACTTTGATCTCATCCAAAAGACATTGTTCCAGATGTCTCGTGGTTTGCTCAGATGCAACTTTGCAAAACTAAGCCATGCTGCCTTGTTCTTATTAGAGAGAAGAGGCTTTCTCCTGGCAACCCTTCCAGACAAGCTACACTTGTTCGGTCTTGTTCTAATTGTACTGTCATGAACCTTAATATTTAACATGCTAACTGAGGCCTGTAGAGTCTGAGATGTAACACTTGGGTTTTTTTC